TCACCCCTGAGGCCTGTAAGCACCCCAACCATGGATTCTTGGCCAGATTTACAGTACCAGGCATATGTTTTCTCCAGAAAGTGGTTGGTTATCCCTGTAACATTCATACCACTATTGTCCTTATGGGCATATCTTGCTATGCCAGTCATTATGATAACTCATAGTTTACAGCTGTGTAAGACTGTTGATGGCTTTTCCTCCAGGTACCTATATAACACCTTCTAGTACTATGCGTGCTAGCCATCAGGAAGGTTCTTGGTCAGTACCAACTTAGTTTCTCAATGTCCTATGATCAATGTCTTCAACAATAGAATCTTATCATCATGTTCTGGTGGGCAACTGAGAGCAATGGCAATAGCCTGTATTGTTTTGGGAGCTCTGAAACACCTCTGATCAATAACTCAAGGGGAGGTTCACACCTGAACACTTCATGCCCTATTTTATCTCTCTAAGTCTAAGCATTTTTCTGTGCTAGGCTAGGAGGCCAAAAGAGTTGACACCTTTTGTCTTTCTGGCCAGTTTGATGCCTGGGCCTAAAGGAGAGGAAGCAAAGAAAGGGAAAGAATAGGAAATTGTTTCTCAGTGCTACAGAAATGTCATCCTTCTTAGAACCAAACAGGGTATACATGAGTAGTGAAGTGCTTCCAGAAAAAGAGGACATCCTAGCCTCATGAGAGGGGGCTGGCCAGGTGGGCAGACAATGGCAGGGTAAGTCTTTCAGGGGAGGGGGAAGATACCTTGAGGATGGTCCTTTGCCCACTGGCTAGAGCTGTGGAAGAAACACCCTGGTTGGCTTCAAACACCTTGTAACTTCTAATGAGGCATTGATTGAGCGGCTATCTATCTGCTGGAAAACATGAGATACTATGACCAACACTGGAGTTCCTTTCCAGAAAGGTGACATGGGATGCCATGTTTTCTGGCATAGATGAGTGTTGCTCACGTGCAGGACACAAATGTCTTCATCCTGATACAGAGTTCAGGATACCAAATCCAACAGCCGTACTTATACTAGACACAAATGTCTAAGTCACTGGTCGTTGAGGGAGCGCAAAATTACTTAAGAACAAATTTAAGGGCACAAAATCCCTTTGAAACATTATAGATTCAAGTTGCGGGGTTATCCGGTAAAAATTCTTACTGTGTATACTGACTTGAGCTCACTCATGCTTGTGGAACATTCAAAGTCCTCCAACACAGTGGGGATTTTTATTTTTCCATTAGGTCTATTTGGTTAGGTATTTTTAAGTAAATTAAAAATTACTCCAATATTCTATGTGTCCCATAGTCATAATACAAACCTTAATCATAGCTCCATGTAACCCTGAACTTTTCAGAGCCCAGGCTGTGGTCAGTCCTGTGGCTTACAGTCTTTTAAGAGACTGGAAGATCTTGAGGGTTCAGAGCTCTGTCAGGGATGGAGTGATAAAGTTGAGAGACTTGCTGGCTTGGCTGCCCAGAGAATTCAGATAAGATTCTCTTGGGGACCTTCAGGATTCCACCTTTACCCTCTGCCTTTTCCCCCACAATGTCCTTTGTCAGAATGACTTAACTCTGTTTCCTCCACGACAACAAACTCAGAGGAACTTTGAATATAAAAAGAACCATTAAAAACAATTTCCCACGTGTGGAGAGAGCTAAGGGTGCTTGCTGTTCTTTAAGAGGCCTAGGGTTCAATCCTAGCACCCACATCCAGTAGCTCACAACTGCCTGGAACTCTAGCTCCGGGGGGATCAGATTTCCCTTCTGTCCTCTACGAGCACCTGCATGTATAGTCACATGCACATATATACATAAATAAAAAAGAAAATAAATCTTTTGAAATAAAATAAAGCCCTGGATCTACCAGGCTTTTCAGAATACAGGTACAGGGAATAAGAGGCAAGTTAGAGGGGCACAGGAGGATTAGATATTCTCTTCAGATACAACTAACCAGATTAATGCCTAATACTGGCACTGGGTTTGTTGAGTTCTGTCTGTCTCTGTCTCTTCCTCTCTCTTCTTTCTTTCTTTCTTTCTTTCTTCTTTCTTTTTTCTTTCTTCATTTCAACAAGCTGAACACTTTGAAATCTGATTTCAAGGACACAGAGGCAGCCAGGAAGGAAGTAGGCTGCTGAATCCGCCTCACTGAGAAAACCCACCAGAAGGAGGAAGTATTTCAAGAGCTGTCAAGATGTGTTAAATATGCTTCATAACCAATTTTCTTAGAGATTCTTTATTTATCAAATATCTAAAACCACATATTCATCTGCCTTGTGAAGTAAATTTACAGCAAAATTCATAACATATACAAATGCTGCAGGTAGAATGGCAGGCATTCTTGCCTACATCTCTGATATCACAGACCCCCCCCCCCCCCCCGCCAAAAAAAAAAAAAGGTATGGAGTTTAAGCCGAGGATCTCTGCATCCTCACCAGCAGTTTGCTCGCTGTGAAGCAGGAACACAGGCCAGGGGAGATGGGGAGTGGACCTCTTTCCCTGTGAGATCCGTTCATGTTGAAGAGTCTGAAACAGTGTCTAACAGAACTGGCCTTCCAGTCTTTCTTCTCTCTTCCACACATCTTCTTGCCTTTCCACTTTAGCTAGACTTCAAAGGCATGTTCCTCAAAGCAGTGAAAATAAATATCAGGAAACTGACGTTCCCTGCATTTGTGCGAGAGGTCTGTCAGCAGGAGCCAGCAAGGGATCGGTGAGTTCCACTTACAGCACAGGGCTCAATACAAATGAAGAAGCAACTTGTAAATGATGTGTGTGGTGGGGCAGCCTTAACACAATCCTGACAAACATGCAGCAGCTATAAGTGATGTAGGGACATAAATAACAAAAACAGAAATCCTCACAATCTTACAATTTTCACAAACAAAACAATGTTTATGGGTGGGGAAGGACAGGATTATGATTGGAGAGGAATGAAAGGGCATTTGAACTATGGATTTCTGCTATGTTACCCGCGAAAAAAATTTAAAAGAATAATAAGTAGGACTGTCACATGTAAGATGTGATTCCCAGACTCCGCTGCTGCGGGGCTCACATACAACCCCACAGGAGAGCAAAGATACCTCACATGCGCCTTAATTGGTTGCCAAATTCATTCTGCTGGCATTCCTGTGCCTGGCATGCAGCCACTTGGGTGGTACAGCCGAGGCCTCTGCAGCTCATGGCCTTTTCACAATGAAGCAGGCCCTTCCTTGCTCAAATCTAGGAGTCTAACTGGGTGTCTACAGGTGATTTCAATTGGTTTTCTTTTTCAGGACAATAACAGAGGGGTTGTAAGGTTTCAGTTTTAAACTAGTTGATCTGATTCTCAGTGTTAACAAAATATACTAGTGACTGCCCAACTGTTACCAAACATTTGAAATCTCAGGAACAAAAACCAAACCAAAGCCATGCGCCTGCAAACCTTGTCCATGTTCTCCCCATGGTGTCATTATCCTCAGCCTGATTCTTCAACAGCATCTTCCAGTGGAGACAAACTAAATTCTAGTGTGTGTGTCCCAGTTTGATGTGACAAGGGATGAGGAAGCCATTCCTTTCCGCCAGGAGTGATCACTTGATCACTTTGAGCTTCACTTCTTATGCAGCTGTCAAGGCTAAAGCTGTCAGCATGCATGGCTGTAAAGTGTGATAAGAGAAGTGTGAAGTGGCCCAAACCATCAAGCTTTTTCTAGAAATTGCAGCTTCACTGTCAAAGCAGCATAATATTAAGGAAAAAGAAAAGAATTCACATGGCAACTGGAATCAAGCATCTGCTCGAGGGAAGAGGACTTGGGGTCCTACAGGACCTTTGGGGAATTACCAGATATGAGTGGGGTCAAATATTCCCCATGAGGATGGTTGTGGGTTGAGGACCTTGGGAAACAGCAGCTCCCAAATTTTGTCTTCATTTTCCCTTGGGATAATATACCCCAGATTGTTTTGCATCTATAAGATGAGTAAGTGACTGCAGTACATGAGGTGCAAACAGGCTGCCAGAATGCATCCGTTTGGAGTGGCTAATGAGAGGTCTAAACCCCACCAGGCACACTGCAGTGGGGTACCACATGCCTCTAAAAGGATGAGGTAAGTCTGTATAGTTAGGTACATACAAGTGTGTGATCACATGGTTTCTTTTTAAAATTTTATGTGTATTTATGGAAAACTGAACCATATTTGAAGAATAAACTGAATTTTTTCAGATAGTTTGAGGAAGGAATATTTAGGATAGAACATAGAAGATGCTTTTCAGTTTTTCCTTCCTCGAGATTGCTGTTGTCTTCTGCAATGTGTATTATTTATTAAAGGCTCCTTTTTAAAAATAAAATAAGTCCCTCAATGCTTCATTGCTCATTGAATGTGTGCTGTTGAATGAATTGAGGAGAAACATTAAGAGTGGCATGTGTTTGAGAGCTGTTGACTGTTGCTGAGCCCAGAAGTAAAAGAAATTACTTTGTAGTAGGAGAAAAATATTGGAGTAAGGTTATACACCTAAACAAAACCAGTAACAAGAAAGTAAAGAATCAGGCTTATGGTGGTAAATGGAGGGCCTTGTAGTTCTATAAAAGAATGCATTTGAGAAAGGCCTAGTCCTTTTGAGGCTCTGGTAAACTATTATTGGCATGAGGAAGCATCTAATCTACAAAATAAGCAGAAATAGCCCACTGAGTCCGCAGCTGCGCAGTCAGCTGAACCCAGCACCATCAGTGTCCTGACCATTTCAACCTGTGCTCAGCTCCGCCCCTCCACAGTTGCCATGGATACTCCCTATGGCCAACAAAACAAACAGAAGGGGAAATGGCTCAGAGCTTTAAAAATCTATCTTTAGTATTTGGTCTATTGATTTTTTTGTTCCTTTTTCTTTAAGAAAAAGAGTTAATAATTCTAAAGAATGAGAAGGAGAGGGAGAAGGAGAGGGAGGGGAAGGGAGGGAGGAGGGGGAGGGGAAGGGGGAGGGTGGAGGTGGAGTAGGGGGAGAGAGAGAAAGAGAGAGAGAACAGAAAAATTATTTTCCAGTCATTAAATTTCTCATTTAAGAATAGCCCTAATGCTTTTTGGCTCAAGATGATGACAGAGCCTACCAACTAGCCTTCAGGGAATGCCAGGGAGAGGAAGAAAACAGAATACAGGGTCCACCCTAAAACATTCTGCATAATTTGGACATTGTAGCCTAACCTCAGGCTGAGTTTCAAGTTGCCTTACTCGGTGAGCAGGATCCAGGACACACACAGCTCCTATATCCAGGAATACTTTTCTTGGGGGTAGACAGAGTAGTCTTCAGTTTGAACTTTACTTCCCTGAGATATGAACTAATGACACTTAAGTACTACTACCGTCACCAGTTAGGAACCCACACTGGGTTTTCAGTCTTCTAGCAAAGGCAATCTATACCAGACTAAAGACAGCAATTTAGTAAATGTAAACACATCAGTGGTCAAGTTTCACAGTTAAAAGCCTGGGTGGCAGTCACCAAAGTACTGACTAGAATATTTGTCCAAACCTGGTTGACCATTAGTCATTCTGGAATAAGCTCATCTGTCAATCAGGTGCAGCTGATTTTCTGCAGACACCCCAACTGTTGTTCTCTTCAACTGTGAACCCACTTCAGATTTCCTCCAAAGAAAAAGGGGATTAATCGGTTGTGCTTGTCAAAGTCCTTGTCAAAGTCTAATATTTACAATGAAACCAAATCACTGGTCTTGGTGGCTTCTCACTCTTGAATAGAAGAATGGCGGAGGGATCTGTGGTAATCTGGACTGCTGATGTGTTCGGGTAAATCGTAGCCCCTCAGGAAGTGTCCACTGTTTTGTTGAGCAAAATAATATAGTTGCCTGGCTAGCAAAGGTTCCACCTTTAAACAGACATTTTAAAAAAGATGTTACTGTGATATTCTTGTTAACATCATACAATTGGCACATCATGAAATAACCCTCCAATTCTAAGCCAAGTATGTGCTCTAGCAGACCAAAGCATTTCATATTTGAAGCCACCTGAAAAACCAGGTTTTTTGTTCTTATATAGAATTCCCTGTAAACAGAATTCTTGGTTTCAATTGAGGGTAAACATGACATTTTCAAACAACTGCCTCTTAGAATTTCTATTTAACTAAAAGACTGAACATTTTATCAGATGAAATGTTCAAATTAAAAGGCCAAATAAAGTTCAGAGTAAGTTAGGTTAATAAGTTTGTTTTTCCAGTACAGCAATTTGACAACGTGAGAGGCTCATTCTGAATGACTATGTAAGTCTGTACACGTGTGAACCAAAGGAAAAAGAAAGAAAATTGAACAGCGACAAAAGGCATTATGGGAAGACAGCAGATCACTGGCTTGAGTTGGTAAAGTTTGATTATAAGTATAGGTCACATTTACCCATACAAAAGCTAGTATTAAGCACTTCCTGAATTTGCAACATCTAAGTCAAGCTGAATGCTCTCCATTAATAAATCGTGTATACATTCAGCCTTTTTGTTATTTGATATCTAATGACTGGCACAATTCCTTCACAAGCAGCCAAAGGAATTAAATCTATAATAGAAAAACAGTTGAACTCATGGGTGTGTACATGCATATTTTTCTTTAATGGACCACATAGTAGCACTTTGAGGCACCTTGTCATTGGAGCCATCCTTGCCTCTCCTCGTGGAGCATCACTGTTCCCCAAACCCTTGAAATCAGATAGATGCAGGGCTTTATCCACTACTTCTTAAATGCTGCTTATTCACTTAGTTAGCAATCTCTGTAGCCATCAACCACAAGAGAGAATAGAGGGGAACATGCTAAAGTCTGGGATTATATTGTTGCTGTTTGTTAGGTGTTGTTTGTTTCTGCAATCAAAAAGCAGTGGTTGGATGGTCAACATCAGCACCCCTCTGCCTTCTGGGAATGGAATCCAGGGCTTTGCCAAAGTGCTTACCACTGAGCTCTACTCCCATTTCACTACAAAATATCATCAGATCTAAAATCTCATTTGAATTTTGAGAATGTGGATATTCTGGGATGTAACTTTTTACTTGGTACTGCATACTTTCTGGGTATGTATAATTTTCAAATTCAAAATTTTTAGGCATTCAGTGCTTTTTAAAAAAATATGTGAATGTTAAACATTACTAAGTAAACCTGTTTCCTTCCCTTGAAGAAGATGTCAAATTACCACAGTTATACCCATCTTAAACTGGGTTAGCTGTGAGGACAAACTCACCTGCCTGGATTCTTGGTAAGACTCAGCCTCTTTTAAAGACCCCCATGTCTAACTATTAAATAACTTCCCCAAATCCAGCAATAAGAGAGGGACTAGAAAGAATTTGGAGGGCGCCTATAGAATATACATCAGACGACTTTGCAGTGGGAATAGATCCTCTCCTGGGGAAACATCTGCTAGCTACACAGCATTTTAAAAGCCACACGAGAAGCAGAAAACGTCAAAGGGCAACTCTTAGTATTAATATTTTTAAATTCCTATAAAAAGGGAATGAAACAATTTGTCCAAAAAAAAAAAGAAAGAAAAATCCAGGAGAAGGTGGGCTTGAGGCATCTACCCTGGTTCTGTGGTGACGGACTTGGGCTGGAAGTAGGTTGTGGGTCTTTGGGCTGTGCTGCTCACTAGGGCCTGCTTCCTCCTATGCTATTTTAAGGGTTGCGTTTATTTTCCCAGGTGACTTGACATTTACTTTTCATTTGTGACTTCTCTAAAAGGGACAACTCCACAATGTGTGACTCAAGGGTGATGTGACTGGGTACTCACGTGGGCTGTGATGAGCTTCCTTTGCCTTTGAGGGTCTGGAAACTCCTCCCCAAAGCACAGAGTCACCTGGAATCTTGGTACAGGCCGGCCATGGTGAGCAAACGCCTGCAGCTCTGAAAACCCACAAGAAAAACCTATTCAGACACCTGGCAAAGTGAGCTAAAGAGACAGCAAGAGCCTTGCATGAGTCTGCATTGGGAGAACCCAAGCTCTGTTTCCCTAAGTCCAGCCCTACAAGGGCAGACCCCAGGTACAAAACCACATGCACAAGCTCACATGTGTGATCTGCTAACCCCTCCCCTGCCCACACGCACACTGGTTTTACTTCATTCTTCTTGGGGAACAAGACCAAACCTTAAGAGCATTGCTCTGCCTTGAACTCATGAAAATGTAATAGGTCACAGAGAGGAGTGAGGGAGGTAGAAAAGAAACGTAGTTGTGCTGAGGCAAATGAACAGGCTTTACAAAGGACACATTTTGATTTAAAAAATCAGAGTGTTCTGATCCTGCAAGGTTATTTTAAAATGTCACCACCTAGCCATGGAGACCACATGCTGTCTGAGCACCAAGGGCTCCTATGTCTGGCACCAGCTGTTGGCAGTGGTGGCTCACTTGGCACTAGGTATAGGCTCCAAACTGTAGAACTGAGTGGAGTTCTTTCCCACTGATGACATGAGAAGTCGCGACAAGCCACCCTAGCCCCACTCTGATGAGTATGTGTATCCTGAGGCCACGCCTACTTGGGGGACACAAAACATAAGAACATTGTTGGAAAGAAACCTGTCCAGGGGTGGGGGTGTTGTCCACCGGCAGAGTGTTCATTTACCTCATGTGTGCAAGACCCTGGGGGTTCAGTCCCAGCACTACAATGTAACAAGATGGATAAAGAAAAGGAACACAAAAAAAGATATGTGTCCAATCTGTGACAACGGCTGTTCCCTTACTCTTGCACCTGGAAGAGTGGGTTCCAAGGTCTTGTCTGCATGAAAGACCTACATAAAGGAGCTGCAGAGCCTCTGCAGAGCAGCTGTGTACATGCTGCCCTTATCAGATGCTAGTCCTTAGACCATGCCTATGGGGACTGTCCCTAGCACAGTGCAAATCCTGAATGGGTAGAAGTCAAAGATTTCCACTACTCTCTGCGACTCAAGAGCTTCTAGCAGCTCACAGGACTGACTTCCTGCTTTTCTTTCTCTTTCTTCTTCCAGAATTCAAATCAAACCCGAATGGTTTAGTCAGAATGTGTAAAACACACAGTACTGCAGCCTGGGAAGACACCTACACAAGCTAATCAGAGTGACAAGTGGGCGCAATTCTCTGAAAAATTTCCCCACAGGCTGCTAACTCAAGGATGTTTGGTAGGAATCCCTAGACATACAGGGTGCTCTGCGGCTGGCTGCAGTGTTTTAAGTGTACAGTAACTTCCCTGAGCATCAGTGAATCTCAGATAGAGGGGACAAAAAGCACAGGCCCTGGTACTGAGCAAGGCAACAAAACAGAGCACATCCTGCTTATAAATAAATATTAAATTTTAGGCTATGAATTTGCAGCCCAAGATGTCCATTCTGCTCTGATGCCTTCTTCCCACCTAGATCCCCACTTTACCTGTGCACTAAGACTTAGTCCTTAGTACCTTATAGCCTACCCATAATGGTGAGATTCTTGCTCCCTTAAACATGCCTGGTGAGAGAAATCCACAGAAGCAAGTGCTGGTTCTGGGATGCCTTCATTAGAAAGACTATCAGGATACAAGCAGGGGCCTGGGTGGAGGCCTTCAAGGCCACAAGGGAGACAGGAGGTGCAAACAGGCCCCCCTGCTGGTCTTTGCTCTTTTCTGCCTAGCACCATGAGACACCAGGCCTGACCTCAAGAGAGACAAGACAGCCTGGCCAAGGCTGAAGACCTACTGTGCAGCTTCTTTGGAGCCAAAGATGATTTTTTTTCCTTCTCATGTCCCACTTCTGTGGAGAGGGTATTTATCTAGGAAGATATCTGTTTGAGCCCTGGTAGAGTGCTCACTTCACATATGCAAGGCCCTGGGGTCCAGCCCCAGCGCTACAAAGAAAAGAGACGAATGAAGGAAAAGAACACAAAGAAAGATGTGTGGTGGCATCAGGCCCTGTTCCCTTACTCTTCCACCTGGAGCTTGGTTCCGAAGTCCTGTCTGCATAAAGGAGCCCCAGGACCCCTGGAGCTGATGGAGAATTTGAATGAGTCTAAGCAAATTTGAGCCAATGAAACTCAAAAGGCTGAGGAAATGCCATGTTCCAGAGCACACAGGCATTTCCTGTTTTTATTGTAAATGAATGGAATGAAGAAGCACATTGAGGATTCAGCAGTCTTCCTTCCGGCTCCATACCCAAGGGAAAGGAAATCAGCAAGCTGGGAGACAGCTGTCCTCAGAAGCCACTGCAGCAGTCACAGTAGTAAGATAAGAAATTAAGAGCCCACCAACGGATGGATGGATAAAGACAATGTGATAGACAATGGAATGGTGCTGAGCCTTTGAAAGGAAGGAAGCTCTGTCATTTGCAACAACACAGGCAAGCCTGGAGGACATTACGTTAAGTGAAATTAGCCATGTACAGAAAGGCAAATACTGTGTGATATTCAGATGTGAAATCTAAACTAGCTGCACTCATGAAAGTAGAGTTGAATAGTAGTTATCAGAAGCTGGCGGGGCGGGGGGGACTAGGAAGCTGTGCATCAAAGAATACAAAATCTCACCAAGAGGGATACATTCAGCAGGTATATTGTAACGCCCTCATAACTGCAGTAATATACAGTATACTTGAAAATTGCTGAGAGTAAATTTCAAGTAGCGTTCTTCCCGAAGGAAAAAAGCAGATAAACATGCAAGATGATACACATGCTAATTACTGCATTAGCTATAACATGATGCATATGTATTTGAAGCCATCGTGATGTACACAGATGGGGAGAGATAGTTCAGGAAAAAGAAAGCACATAAAAAACCAGAGATGTGGGGAATTTGGGAAGGGGCACTGGTAAAGAACAAGAGAACAAGTTTAGGATAAGATGGGGGTGGGAGACTGGCAATAGCCAGCAGGCAGAGTAACCTCTTCCCCGAAAATCATCCTCAGCTAGACAGTCAAGTGAACCCTCTGGATGGTGTCCCACGGTGGCATGGCTAACGACTTGATGAAAGGCAGCCCAGAGCTAACTTAACATGAAATCAAAACTAGAGCAGTAAGAAGTGCTGCTTCTGGAAAGTATGATTAGAAGCATTCACACGAAGAGATAAGGCAAAGCCCTCTCAGCGTTTCCCCTTTGCTAAAGCAGCTCCTGACACTCTCAGCCTGGTCCCACCTGCAGTGTGGGACCATCTTCATAAAGGTGACACATCTCATAACCAAGAATGTTAACAATGTACTTCTAACTTTTGCAGTTTTTCTAGGAACTGTAACAAACTGAAATATCAACAGATAAGCTTGCTGAGACCATACTACCAACAAAATGGAACCCCGAGAACAGGTGGCCGCGCTGAAAACCCACCTTTTGATTCATTAGCCAGATATGGTAGCACACATTTATCCCAAGGCAGGAGGATCTCCAGCTCCAGGCTAGCCTGAGCTACCTAGTGAGGCTCCCTGCCTCGAAAAACAGAACCATAATAATAACAATAAATTAAGATATCAGCCTGCACCATAGTTTGCCCTGGCCAGCTCATCTGGATCCCCTCCCTGTCCCTCTGTTAATGAGGGAGAATATGGCAAAGGTAAGCTATGAACCAGGCAAGAAACCCTATTCTGGGGTGAAGGTCACTGAACTCAGGAGGAAGACCTCACCTGGGGTACACAGGCCCTGCCACTTGGGACCCTTATGACCAGCGCCCATGACTACCTCCATTCTAATGGATAATGAGGTGTATTACCTGATAGAAACTGCTGTGTGTCAAAGAGCTTGCAGGTCTGGTCTCTTTCCAGTTTGTTAGGCCGGTCGCTGCACAGTGCCAGGGGCCCATCCCAGTAGATCCTGCTCTGGCACATTCTTTTGGCATACAGTCCATCTGGGGCCATCCAGAGGACCAGTCCCCTCTCCAGGTGGCTCAGCAACTTCTCGATGTTTTTCCTTTGTCCATTGTCCTCTGGGTAAGGGAACAAGACTTGATCCAGGTTGCTGGCATCATAGGTATGTCCATGGGAGATCCGGCAGCCTTCGGGGCTGGACGTCGTCAGCTCCTTCACCAGGATTTCCCGGTAATACAGGCAGATGTGCAGTCGACAATCTGTAAACAGAGCTCTACAGTCAGTGCTAGTGACCTGGGGACAGCTGCCACAATGTGCAGAGGTCCAAAGACTCAATGACTAGACTGTATGAAGTGTACCAGTGCCTCAAGATGCTCTGTGCACAACTGGGAAGTTTCAGAATCAAGAAAGTTGGGGTAATGTCACCTGCTTTTGTGTTCCCCAAGAAATTTTCAGATAGTGATCACACTCCATACTCTGAGAAGCCCATGGAAAGAAACTTATTTCTCTAATCCAGTCATTTCCAAATGCACTCATCTATCTCGGGAAGGGACATATATTTCATTAATTTTCTACAGAATCTGTTTAAGTTGCATCAGAAATGCCTGTTAAGAACCTGCGAGGTCATTTTTTGGATGATGGTAGTGGTGCTAAATTTTGTCTAAAACATGAAGTGATGTTCCACTGAACAAGAATTCACCTTTAAGCAAATCAATTTTTATTTTGGAGTTGAACTCTTAAGATTAATTTCTACTAGCAAAAAAAGATAGTGGTGGCATTTCAGAAGAAAAGCAAACATGGGCACACCCGGAACTCCCCTAAAATGTCACCACTGTGTCATTTAGGTCAAAATAGATAATTATGTTGACGCTTAGCGCTAAAGTGAATATTTCTGGGCCACAAAAAATATGATATGGTTTCCCCCCTCCTTTTTATTTTCTGATTTTTAAGTCAGTTTTCTTGGAGAGAAAGGAATCAAAGAGAAATACCAAAAAAACAGTAGTCAACATAAAACATGCTGAAATCCCACTTAACTTTGAAAAGGACTCTATAAGAGTGCTTCCTAAAGGAATGTCTACAAAATTCCTTTAAGAAAAGAATTTATTGATTACTTTTTTTTTTTTTTTTTACTGATTTCAGAAACTTCATTAAAATATCTTCTAGTGACTGAAAGCAACCTGGGTATGCAAAGCATTCCCAGGTAGAGACAGCTCCCCACCGTGGTGGCAGTGGGGTGAAAAATGCCTGGGGAGGGTAACACTCTGACAAATGTATTCATGGTTGATAATTAATCTGCATTATGCATAGGAGAGAAGAAACCCACAAAACCCTTGTATTTCTCAATGGCAAGTTTTGAGACTTGGCCCACATCACAGTGTCTTCCATTTCTGTTGCTGTAAACAAGCAGTCAGGTGGTGCACCCAATGAGAGGGGGCGTTGGCTGGCTGGGGTGACTGGCAGGGCAGGTTTCATTTCATTTAATGTCATCAGAATCACAAGATTGCAGAGATATAAATAGCTATTTATTTCCTCCTCTTCAAGAACCCACACAAGTTTTAGGTGTTCCAGAAAAGGGTCTGAAACTTTCTAAAATCAGTGACAAGCCTGGCTGCTCGGAAGTGTCCCCACAAGTGTGTCCTCACATTCATGAGTGGCTCAGAAGAAGTATGGCCTTCCTGAACCTTAGAACAAGAAGGAATTAAGTCTCTCCCTCAAGAACAAGAACAAGACAAGTACATTAAAAAGTCAGGTTTTTTGGGTGATGTTTTCTATCACATACTTTTAAGGGGGTTGGGGGCAAAATGAGAATTTGGATATGCAAACTATTCATTTTTAATACCAATTCGAATTCCATTTAAAAATCACTCAAAAAAAATCATCTAAAGACTAAAAAGACATAAGATACAGCTTCAGATGTGTGTGGGCTTCCTTAAAAGACAGGTCAGCATCTCCAGGTACAGGGTTCCTTAGCAATAGAATTTTACAAAAAAGATCAAATTCACACTCGCGTGTAAATCCTATCAAAGTTCCAAGGAGACAGAACTGTGTGGTCCTTGGGGCTTAAGAATTTCAGGGAGACCAGAAGCCAGAAGCAATGTCCCCTAGGAGCAGGTCAGGACCACCTGCTTGTGGCTAACCCTGAAAGGACAGCATTTAGAAAGGAGAAGCCCTTGTGCTTTCTAAGAAGCTGTTCTGCATGTGACAGTGTTGGCTAGAGGAGGAGCCTGGGTGAAAGACAGCTGGAGCATTTACATGTTCCTGGCAAGTTGGACAGGTAGTGTTCTTCCACACAGTATTCCAACTCTCTTCAAGTCACAGGCTAGCTGGTTCTGCTGCTAAGTTTTCTAATAGTGTTCCTTATTCATTGTGATGACCACAGGGCCTGGGCCATGCCTTCAGAGTTCAAAAGTAAGCATCTATGTAAAGCCTCACCAAGGGGGAAGAAGTTACCTCCCTCCCAGCCTCAAACAGAGTACTGCACTCACCTGAGAGCGCCAAGGCTTCAGCAGACCTTATGCTTGGCTCAATGGGGATTCCAGGAGCCTGGGACTCGGGTGGGGCACAAGCATAAAAGGTTCCTGTCACCTGGCAACCTGCATTTGCAAATAAAAATCAGATGATATCTAAGCAGAGGGTTTGAGTATGGGGAGGCTGCTCCAGTGGGCTCTGTGCCCTGTCACTTTCCAATCCAAGCTTGGCAGGCTCCAAACACCCACTGACAGCGGGGCATACATTTATGAGGCAAAGGCAAGTCTAAGTCCAGTGGGAAAAACCCAGGGTGAAGGAGGAAGGAGCCTTGCACAGCTCTGGAAGAAAATGCAGTGCTAGCTCCATATTTCATAAACAGGAAAACTGAGGCTCACAGGGAGAAGGGCTTGGCACCAGCACACCCAACAAGTTCACAGCAGGGCTGAGAGTTCAGATTTATGTAAGGCTAGTTAAAAAACACTAATTATTTAATCTTTGTTTATTTTACTCACTATTTGTGGGTTTGGGAGAAAACTGGACATGTTTCCCTGCAGTATAGATGCTGTGTTATACTAAGCACACACACACACACAAAGAAGGGGGGGGAGGAAGAGAGAGGGGGAGGGGAGAGGAGGGAAAGATTGGTTGGGTTGGGAATATAGCTCAGTGGTAGAGCACTTACCTGGATTGCACTAAACTCTGGATTTAATGGGGAAGTTGGGGGTATGGAGAAGAGGGAGAGGACAAGGAGAGGAAGGAAGGACAGAGGGAAGGAGGCAGGAAGCATAGAGAGAAAGAGAGTGTCATAGAACCTGGTTTTGCTGGCATTTCACTTAATGTCACCCTTACGCTTCCATGTATGGCTGTTTTTGTGCAATCAGAAGCGTCTTTACTCTGATAATAATTTAATATAATGTGGTTAATTGGACACAGAGGCCTGATATTTCAGAAACTAGTTTAATGTCAGCTGATTCCTCACTGAAACAGAGAGAGCTAGATTGCGACAAACCATTCTTAAGAGAAAAAAGGCAGTAAAATTGAATTTCAAATGATTTTAAACATGCCAACAGATATAAACATCAAATAATGACAGGCTTCTTCAATACCAGCAGCTAAGAATAGTCTAAGCATGGATGAAATAGGGGCAGTAGAGGAGGGGATGAAATTATGAAGGAGCAAATATTTCCAGAATATGCAAAAGGGCCCACCTGTGTAGTGACTCATGTCAAGACTTCTATTTAAATAATAAACTCAAAAGTTCTAAAAACTGATGCTTTATATCAGTTGGCAGTGAAAACCTGTAATTCCAGGTACTCAGGCAGTTGAGGCAGGAGAATCATAAGTTCAAAGCCAGCCTGGGCAACCTAGCAAAACGCTACCTTAAAATACAAAGTTGAAAAGGACTTGGGGGTGTAACTCAGTGTCCTTGCCTATATAAATTATTAATAAATAATCAAAGCTACACTGAACGTAGCTTGTACAGTTCTCAGTGTCCAGTTAAGTGGTGCTTCTTCTGTGAGAACTCAGTGTGATGTCTAGAGGACCCCTGTGGGTCTTTTGGGGCCGGACACTCCTTTGTAGCGGCATTTTGTGGATTGTTTTTCATGCTTTTGATCCACTCACTCCTTAATACCAAGAACAGCTACAACTGAATCATCACTGTTCAAGGAACTAGAACTAATTCAGTGATCTGAGGTTCCTTCAGAGGTGGGCTGGCACAGCTGTAGCATGCCCCCTTTACAGATGAGTAAACAGAAATAGACTAGGGAGGCTCTCCATCAGTATTAAGGGATAGTTCAGAGAAAAGACTGGCAAAACCCATCCCTCTGCCTAATATTACAGAAAAAACTTAAGGTTATTTAGAGAATGAAAATGTTAACTGGCTAACCAAATTATTGCAAAAAATAGAGACAGTTTTCTGTCTGACATTCCCTGTCATAGGAAAAAGGCTGGGCTTGGACTTAGATCTGGAATTAAACCCTAGACCTTCACTCTGACTGGTGATGTGGGAACAGTGGGCATCCATGATATTCTCTATTTTGAAAGAAGGGCATGGCACTGAGGACTTCGGCATCTGACAGGACGTGGCAAGCTCTCCATCTCCCTCAGCTGCATATGTCTTTCTGGCATCTTGTGGAAGGGGAAAGCCCTGTGGTGCTCCCCTGGAGGGCCAACTGGGATTCCCCACACTCTGAGCCCAGGTCTTTTTTCTGTCTCTTGTCCTGGCACATTCCTTACCATTTTCACAAGATGGTCCCTGCCAGTGGTGGCTACGGGGGCCGAACGTCACAGGACATTGATATGGGATTTCTGGGTGTGGCTGATCTGGGGCGTAGTCCCTCCAACTTCTGTCAGGGGGTGGCATCATGTAGTTATGAACCTGCTGATGGAGCACAGGGATTGTTGAGAGGAAAAGTTGGGTGTGTGTGGAGGTGCTTTCCTATCACTCAAACCCTCCGGGAACCCCATTTTTGGTCAGTAGTCAAGTCATTTTATCTAAAAAGAAGAGTGTGCACTGTCCACCGCACTGGGTAGAAAGCAGCCATAGAAGATCTGAAAGCACAAAGGAGACCTTGTGTAAAGCCATGATTTTTGTAAAGCTTCATCATATGGCTGAGCTTGCACCAAAAATACTGCAGAGAAATCTGCCCTTTTTCACCCAGCAAAGTGAATAAAACAGAGCTGTAATTCACATCAAGAAAGCCTAGAGAAGTCAGCTGCCCTGTGGTTTCACATGATAAAGCCCTACTTCCAACATCTTTGACTTCCACCAAAGGTCTGATTCCCAGAAGACTGGGCAATCAGTAGACGTACATCTCAATAGGTGGGACACACCAAATTCCCCAATTCAACCACCAGGGACAGTGACACAATGTGGAAAGTGAAACATCCTTCCAGGACCAGGGGTTCAGCTTCGGCACATCATAACAAATGATAAGTCCTTCTGTTTTCCTCTCTGTGTGGTTAGCCAAGAGACCCAGCTTAGTGTTCCAGGAGCCCCATGCCCTCCCACATACCTGGGCTGGCAGTGAGCTATAAGGTGCTGTCATGGTGTAGGGGTGGCCCATGGTCATCTGTGTGTCTTCCAAAGTGAGCTGCTTTGCCCCTGTGTATTTGAGGAAAAAAGAAATAGCACAGAGTTAAAAATAAATAAATAAACAAATAAACAAATAAATAAATAAGGAACTGACAACTAAATATCAAATGTTAGAAAAATACCTGAGTACTTAATTCTTAGGACGCATAGTAGTGTCCAGTCAGGTGTTTTTTGTTTCTGTTTTTTTTTTTTTTTAACTTCCTTGAACAGTTGTATGTCCATAAAATTAAACAGATTAAACTAGGTCTGACTTAATGTGGCAACAGGTAGACAAATATAACACTTTGAAAATGTGCTCTGTTGACCCACCAAGTGGTTTTCCAGTGAGATGTTGCCCAGCTCAGGTATCCTGCATGATTGGAACAAAAACGTAGATTCCTGGGCCCTGTTCTAGTCATGCTAGTCAGAATCTTGGAATGAAGGATCCTCAGATCTGAATTTTCAGAAGTACCCCAGCATATCACATTATACTGTAAACACTGGCATTTTAATTACTATAAATGTAATTATTTGTGTGGGGTGCAGCATGCTTCTCCTTCTAGAAAAAACTTACTAGAAGATATTAGGTAAATAAAATTCTAGTGGATCCTCTAGTTTTGTTTGGAAATTTGAACCATATCCTAATTGAATGGAGTAACTGGAAACACTCAGTTCTTGCTTGCTTATATACACATGCGTGTGCACGTACATACACACACACACACACACACACACAAATAGGACTTAGAGAAGTGGTTCTATGCTGTGATTCTATACTAACTCACAAGATTTTCACTTATAACCCAGACAACATGGGTGAGGAGACTGTTGGGCTTGACCTTGGGGCAGGAGGCAGCAGGCTATAAAACAGCAAAAGCAGAAAAAGACCCTCAGAAGGAACTAAGGTATCATGAGTTCCCGTTGCCTTGATCCTGTGACTCATGGGTGGAAAAGCCCCTACCTTTTTTGGCTCCCTCAGGAACAATCCTGTACACCTTGTATGGGTCAGAGATATCCAGCTGGCTCCTCTCAACCAGCTCCTCAAAGTCATTGCTCTTGTTCAGAGCACATCGTAATCGGGTCTTCCAGGTAGGAGGGTCTGGTTTATCAATGCCTTCTCGGAACTTTCCTTTAAATAGTGCCCAAGCCTGAGATTGAAGAAGAGAAGTCAAAGCTCAGATCTGTAAAAAGGAATCTGGAGACTGTATTTCTAAAAGGAAGAACACTGCTTCACATTTACTGTTGCTCAAAATGTGGGACATATACAGGGATCCTCCAGGGAAAATATTTCTCACCTAGGACCCTATTGTTGCTGATCTAAGTCCTTTGAACACTTTTCTAGGTACTTATAAAAAGTGGGGTGAGATGGGGAGGCCCCTACACGACCTGAATCATGTGTGGGTAACACTAGGGACATCAGAGCTGTGGGGCAACAGGCTCCTACAGAATACATCTAGGCAGTCACACTGAGGTGCTCAGCACAAATTCCCGCAGGAAGTCCCCTTCCCCTGCCCTGGCAGGTGGGGGCTGGGGCCTCACAGTTTGGTGAGTCAAGTGCTCTGGGGGCAGCAGTCTGGAGGGACACACAGAAATGGGGAAGACCTCCCAGGGAACAGAGAGAGATTTGAAGTAGTCAGAGGCACCCAAAGAGAGAGAGAGAGAACCAGTGGCTGCATCCAGAGCTAGAACCAGACAGCGGAGAAGCGGAATCAAAGGAAAACCCAGAGAAACTCAGAAAAGTAGCAAAAAGAAGAAAGCCAGAGAAAGACAAAGGCAGGGAGACTGGTAAGCACAACAACCGACCAGAGAGGAGACAGAGGCCAGAGGTGACTGGAAACACTGGAACCCGCTGTGCAACTGGAGCCCCCAGCCTCTGACCACCACATAGCCCCCGGGGATGCTCTGATCCTGGAGCTGGAAGTACTTGCCACCACACAAACTTAGTATCAAGACCTGGTTCCCCTGTTTGTGTAATTCCTGGGGAATTTGCAAGCGCCTGTCCTTCTCCCCAGGTTTCTGCAGAGCACCACATGATGCACTCCCCTGTCCCTTGCTCTAGAGCCACAGAGCTATCTGGGCTCACGGCTGAGTCCTGGGTGAGGGCTGGCTGGGCTCTTTCCCCACCCTACCCCTCTTGGGCTCCCCAGGTGCGGGTGACCTTGAAGAGGGCGGCGTCCTCCTCGCGGTTGTAGTCCTGCTTGCCCGCGTGCTTCCACGGGATGCGGAAGATGCTCTTCTCCTCATTCTCCCACACCAGCCCCGGGTACTTGCCGCTGTCGATCTGGTCGATCAGCCACTGGCGGAGTTTCCCGTTGCCGCAGCTCACCGCGCTCATGCTGAACTCTGCACCGCGGCCGCCCTCCAGGTTCATGCCGAGTGCCGACCGCTTCCCGCGCTGCGGGGAGAGCAAAACGTCCGTGCAGGCGCCTTCGCATCGCTCGAGGGGCGCCCTGTCCCAGGTTTTTGTAGTGACCCCGAGGCCCCGGAGTCTCTAAGACGTGTGGGCGCAAGGCCAGTGTCGCCCGAGTCCCCCAAGAGAAGGTATTTTCGCGACAGGCTGGGGAGCATCCCTTGGGACGAACAATTCTGGCGCTGCCGGAACGCACCGTGCTCAGTCAAGGTCTGTCTTCTCATCCAGCCTAGTACCCCACCCCCAGGCCATTATTTTAATGCACCCCAGCGCAAGCGCTCCTAGACACACAACTTTCCTCACACTCCAAATCTAGCTCCACCCGGCACAGTCGGTTTGCGCCCCGCTCCTCTCCCACTCCCAGGCAGCTTCCACTCCACTTTTCCCTCTCTCTGTTTCCACTCCTTCCCGCTCTGGATTTTAAGCTGCTCTGGCTGCCCCAGGCAAGAAGGAGCTCGCACGTGGGCTGCCCTTAGTCCCCGCCCTGCGTCCAGACTTGACCAGGTGCGCGTCACCTGGCTCTTCCTTCAGCTTTTTCGCTCCTACATCCTCACTTTGTCTCAGTCAAAGCCCCAGCCTCCCGGGTCAGGAAGGATTACGTGGGCCCTGGAAGCGAAGAGTGTTGAAGTGTGGATATAGGGCGAGCAAGGCAGCCAAGTAGCTAGAGATTTCAGCGCGCAGAGGTCAGCGCGACCCCAGGCTCTGCGAGGGAGGGTGGAGGATGGGGATAGGGGTGCCGAGGACTGCGACACCAGCTGCTGGGCGGGGCAAGCGAAGGGAGAGGCGGGAAAGGGGCGCTAAGCCCCCCAAGTTTGGAGCTCTTGACCCTCTTTGGCCAGCTGGCCTAGGGTCCACGCGCTGAGTCCTTGGCGACTTTGGGTCCCTTGGGAACTAAGACTGGGAAAGGAGTTTGCTACCCTAGCCAACAAGGTCAGGGGCTGTCCCTCTGGGGACAAGCCTGTCGCCTGTGTGGGTTCCTATGAAGGCGCGACAGTCCCGTTAGTTCTTCCTTCCCAGCCGGTGCGGATGCTCTAAAGCGCCCAAGCCGCCTTCCACCGGACCTGCAGCGCGCAGGCTCCGGCCCAGGACAGATGGGTGCGATCTGAGGCTCCCAGACCCCGCATGCTCCCTCTGGTCCCCAAGCTAAGGTTCCTCGCACTGCTCTGAGACCGAGCCCCGGACCTCTGGTTCCTGCCCTGTCCTCTCGAACCAACCTCCTGCTTCTCCTCATGCCCGACTCCAGGCTCCAGGCCTTACCTCACCCGCACTCTGAGCTGAGGGCTATGGAGGGTCCCAAATTCAAGTGGTGAAACTAAGAAAGTGAGGTGAGAAAGAGGAACTTTATAGAGCCGGGGGCGGGCCCCGCGCAGGGCGGGGCGGCTCCGCCTTCTAGGGCGTTGCGCGCCTAGGCGGGGATCGGCCCTCCAGCCCCGCTCCTGGGCCCAGGCAAGGTTGTCCGGCTGGGGACGATGGCCGCCTGGAGACAGTGGAAACCGGGCTTGGGACAACGGAACACTTGGAGATCCTCTGCTCAGTGGGATCTCGCTTCGGTGATAGAACCTGCGCTGAGGTCGATTAATCTACGGAGAGGTGGCCAGGGCGGGAAGTGGGCGGAGAGTCCGGAGCCGAGCGGATCTAGTTCTCACAGCACAAAACAGAAGAGATGGACTGAGAGATGGGAAGCATCCTTGGCGTGGGCAAAAGGGAACTATGCCTGTCCGCCGAACTCAGACTATCACACCTTTTAACAGCAGAATAGGAAAGGCCCGAATCCTATAAACGAAGGTCCAAATAATGGTGTCTACACGTTTGAAATGCTAACACTTTGGATCTATGAAACCGATAAATTGAGATGACTCAGACAACACACAGCCCCCTAAGTTTCAATTATGGTAACATGACAGAGATGGGGGGATCCCAAAGTATCCAAGTACTTAAGCATTTCCCGACGTCAGTTCACCCTAAAATGATAGTTTTAACCTCAGTCTGGTCAGTTTTCTAAGCGAAGTATAAATGCCTCTCCCCCTCAAAAAATAGTAACAGTGGACCTAGGATTTTGCTTATTTTTCCTGGGTGTCTTCGACCTCCAGAACTAACTCCCTGGGCTTTCCCTAGACTTTCTAACCCACTGACTTTCACCAGACCTTGGATGGGCTGAGCATTTGTTTACTTGGTGTTTTCAGGTAAACCATCAGATCACCAGTTTCTATATGATTTTAGATCACCGCCACTCAAGGTCAACTTGCAACTTTTGCAGAGCTTTTCATTTCACTTCTCAGTTTTTCTTTTCATCTTATGTGACAGTTCCTGGTCTCCTAACTAACTGAACAGCTGAATTCAGCCACTGCAGCACAGGCAGGAGGGACACACAGGTATGCTTTTTCCTAAAACTAACACACTTTCTCAGAAATTAACAGGATGACATGCTTTTCTTTCACAGCGGTAAATTTTCCATTGTCAGAGTCTGTGTAATAAACAACGGAGTTTCGTTCAAAGAAAATTTTGGTCACACCTGTTTTCCTCTCCTTTCAAGGCTTTATTCATTCACAAATATTCTTTGAGCACCTTCTATCTGTCAGAAACTACCCTGGGCACTGGAGACACCTCTAGGAGCAAAGCAGAGGTAGCTGCGTCAGGCGGCACTGCATCCCCGTCAAGGAATTGCTTTGCTTCAAAATGTGCAAATGGGACTGTTGAGGGCAAAAATGGCAAACTAGAGCTTTCTGTACTTTCATACACGTGTCCTCTGTACTGGCTTAGATGGTTTCAACATTTTCCTCACCCATCCACATCCTCTGTTTTTAGAAGTTTAAACAACAGTCATTGCAAGAAACATTTTGAGAGTTTACACAGCTCTCTCATTTTAAAATGTGATCTCTAATCTTCAACGCCATCTTCTGGTTTACTTGTTTGTCATATGGATCTACTTAGAAGTGATATTTTAACCATTAGGTGAACGTAAAGAATAAATTATTTGAATCACTAGGTCTCTTCACATTTTTATTAACATGTATTAATTGTACAGAGAAAAGGGTTTCATTATGACATCTCCATACACAGAGCTAGAATGCTCTGATCACATTCACCCTCTCTGTTGCCATTTCTTATCACTCACCCCTCACGTTCCCCTTTCTGTACCCCAAAGCAGTCATCCTTTTAGTCTCATATTGTTCATCCCACCTAAACTTCACAAATGAGACACTTGTCTGCAAGACTGCTTTATTTCATTTTACATGATGAACTCCAATTTCGTCAGTTCCTTGCAAGCAATAGTTTCTCTTTACCAATGAATAAAACTTCTTTCTTTATTTTTATTTTATGTGTATGAGGGTCTTGCCTGCATGTATGTAAATGCACCCGTGTCATACAGAGTCTGCAGAGGCCAGAAGTGAACCTTGGATCCCTTGGAACTGGAATTACCGATGGTTGTTAGTTGCCGTTTGGGTGTTGGAAATCGAACCCGGGTCCTCTGGAAGAGCAGTCAGTACTCTTCATGGCTGAGCCATCTCTCCAGCCCCTAAAACTTACTTTTGAATCAATGAAGGTCTTGATAGCTCTATTGTTGCTGAGGGAGAGGATGGAGTGACCAGATGGGTGCTGCCTATTGCTTACCAAGAACTTCTTGTACTGTAGCAGTGATTGAAAGAGAAATGACAGGCTTTGGAGTTGAAGTTTCCTCTTATCTGTTTCCCAGTGAGACTTGAGAAAATCACTTCCCACAATAAACATTTGTCCTCAAATGCCGACTGTCACAAAGGCCAACCTTCACTGTCCATATGCAAATTATTTCAGTGAATTATTTGGATAAATAGCTGTTGAACAGGGAACACAATCTAAATGAAGCAAACTTCCAATTCATATTAAAAGACTGTGTCCAAAGTTGAATATACCAAAATTCAACATTTAAAGAATTGATCTTTTAAAATTATATACTCTGGGCTGGACAGATGACTCAGCAATTAAGAGCACTGGCTGCTCTTGTAGAAGACCTGGATTCGGTTCCCAGAATCCACATGGTACCTAACACTCATTTATAATTACAGTTTCAGAAGATCAAATGCCATCTTCTGACCTCTACAGGCATTGTATAATACAGGTGCACCTATATATATGCAGGCGAACTATTCATACACATAAAATAAAAATAAGTAAAATTCAAATTGTACATTCACTTGCAAGAAAAAAATGGCTTACAAAGCATCTATTAGACACACAAAATAATTTCTTGGTCAGGGGTGAACTTCAGCAAACCACAGCAGTAGAATGATTGCTAATCACATGCTAGGTGTGGGTTCAATACTCAACATAGCACAGCACGGCAAAGCAAAACCCCCAAAAGACTGAAATTATATTTTGGATAAGTGTACTTTCTCACTAATTTGGTCTTTAAAGTGGAGGAGGATTACAATTTATTAAAAAAAAAAACAGTGAAATTCTATCATTGAAAAATATTTAAATGCAATAATTTTTAATAGCTTATTTAAAAAAAAAACAAAACAGGAAAAGGCTGGAGAGATGGCTCAAAGAGCACTGGCTGCTCTTGCAGAAGACCTGAGTTTGGTTTCCAACATCCATATGATGCCTAACAACCACCAGTAACTCCAGTTCCAGAGGATCCAATGCCATCTTCTGGCCTCCACAGGCATTGCATGGCATAGGTGCACTTACATACAACTAGGCAAAACACTCATACACATAAAAAGCATAAATAAATTAAAAAATTAAAAAAACAGGAAAATACAAAAATGCTCTGTGGTTTTGATGCAGGTCATTGCTGATAAATAACATCTTATGCTCTGGTTCTATGCTGTGGAATGCTATGTATGATCCTTGACTACTCTGGTAAATGGCAGGGAGGAGGTGATCAGCCTTCAATGAGAGCACACCACTGAGGCCTTGGATGGCACTTTAACTTGCCCATAGTCAAGGGAATGATGGTGACCCTGCCCCCTGTGCTGTTGTGATAATGAAGTGATACACATATATCGCAAATGTTCACCAGAGTGGGAGTGTGGTTGTTTGTATCCTATATCAGTACTTGGGAGGTGTCATAGACTTTATGTCATTTGATCCTTCAACCATATCTGCCTGGTGGGCAGAGTAGCCATATTTAGTCCAGCTGTATAAATTCAGGGGAAGACCCAGAGGAGATACTGGCCGTCTCTGCAGCCTTAGTTTGCAAGTCAGGGGTGGGGGAGATGGCTCAGTGGGTAAGAGTGCCTACTCTGCAAGCATGAGGACCTGAGTTTGAATCCTAAGCATTTATGTGAAAATATGGCCATGGCTTTGTATGCATATAAATTCAGCCTTGGGGGACTGAGACAGGCAGATCCCAAGAACTGAACTGAACTGAGTGTTCTGAGTAAAGTGACACATTCTTTGTTAATGCAATATGACACATAAAACTGTATAACTTTTTGTATAGATATGAATCGACTGTGCTAATTGTATATTTGATGACTTTGCACAGTTCTAACATCAAACATCCCCAGAGCACCAGATGCTGAGAAGCAGCTTGTCGCTTCTTTAGTGCCTGGAGTGAACAGACACATGTAGCTTTTTCCTAGCAGAGTATAACCCACTTTCAGGCTTATAGGAAATGAGACTTGTCATTTAATCAATTATGTAATGAGGAGCCACAAAGTGTAAGACTCTAGGGCAACATGCCTCCTTTCTTCATGTTTGTAAACAACGAACTAGTCCCCTTTTGTCCCCTTTGATTGCCAGCACTCTAAGACCTTCCGTTGTAATGCTCCTTTCTTGCTGACTTGTGCTTGCTGCGTAAGCAGTGACGTGTCTCTAAGCAAGGAACCACTTGCTACTGCCAATTCCCTTTCCCAAGCCAACAAAAATACAAATTGTGTGCAATCTCCATGGACAACTTTCTGAAAACTGAAGCAATAGGAAAAGGCAAATGGCATTATCTAATTTCACCCATTTGCAGCAGTACTTGATACTGGATTATTCTAAACTGCATCTGCCGTTCTTTTAGCCAAACACTGGAGAACAGTGTACCCATCACTTGTCACAGAGGAGGCTGTATTCTTACCACTTGGGGCACTTGGGATGGTAGAGTATATGTTTTAAGAAAAGTTAGATTGTGATATGGTACCCAGAGTATAACCCACTTTCAGGCTTGTAGGAAATGAGACTTGTCATTTTAATCAATTATGTAATGAGGAGTCACAAAGTGTAAGACTCTAGGGCAACATGCCTCCTTTCTTCATGTTTATAAACAACAAACTAGTCCCCTTTGGGGGTGTGAGTTCCTTCTTGTTCATGTGAGATATTCA